ATGGCTCAGCGGTTTAGAGCATTAGCTGGTCTTCTCCAAGGACCCAGGTTCGATTCCCAGCACCCATGTGAGAACTCACTGCCATCTGTAACTCCATTTCCAGAGTATTCCTTCTAGCCTCTGAGGGAACCAGGCACACACACGGCACAGGACATACAAACAGGCAACACACCCATAAAAGTAAATTTTTTTATTTTAAATTATTGTTATTTCTCCTCTGAGAGATAGCAGTTTTGAATCTTAAATGATGTATATCATATTGCTTGAAAACACCTTGCCAGGGTCTAGGGACAAACACCTGCTATTACACAATTAAGTGAGACTTCCAAGACAGTTCTTGGTTTCATCTTCCACACAATCTGCTCAGGAGAATACTTCCCCTGCTGTAAATTCCCAGGCAGGAAGATTAGAATGAAGGTCCTTCAGGGTACAAACCGGCCGCCTAGGCAGCCTGTGAGGCAACAGTGTACCAACTTGATTTGGTTTGGAGTCTCTGTAAAATCAGCCAGACCTGGGTGGAAACAAGCAGTCCCGGAAAATGTCCTAAGAGCATTCAGTAGAGAGGCCCCTGGGTCCCTTCCACTTCTAACACAGACAAAAATGACTTCTCCAACCTATAAATCTGCCGGGCGTGTGCCCAACCTTCCCTTCTGCTTCCTGTTCTCTGCGGGAACCATGGTACTGTAAGTCTATTTCTTCATTAAAGCTGTATATATTCTTTACCAAAAAAAAAAATGACTTCTCCAGATTGGTGGCTCAAGAGCTCAATCTGAAGATGTATGCTCAGAAGGCGGAGCCATTCAGATGAAAGCCTTACTGCTTTGAACACACCTCTTTAGCACGAATGTAACCCACCAGTCTACTGATAACATGCCGTGAACCCAGTAAAGTCAGGTCTAGAAGCTTCTTACCCTCAAAAATGAATTCACAGGTGGCCCAAATGACTTTATGAAGGCCCCCTAATAACCTTACTTCCTTTCACAGTAGGGATTAAAGGAGTGGGGGAGAAACCCTGGCTCATTTAAGATGTTAATTTTTCAAGAAATGGGCACACAAAGGCAAACTTCTAAGTCAAACTTACACTAAGCTTGTAAAATATTACTTTAGTCAAAACTGGGAATTGCATCTTTTTTTAAAAAAATCATGTTTTAAGTATCTATCTTAAAATATTGAAAAATGAGAGAGGGCAAGTTCTCCACTGCTAGATCAGAACAGTGATTCCCAAGACACAAAGCCCAATAACCTAGAATGAACCTGGGAGTACGTGGACATGTGGTTGAATAACATGGCTAACACTCTCAGACTGATGTGGAAAACATCACCATTCCTTAGTATTAGCACATAAAAAATGTTTTTAAACTATTAAATATAGACTACACGAAGCAGCAGAAATCAACTTTTGCAAAGTTAAGTACAAGCCTTTTAAATCGTTTCTGACTGTAATTTTCTATGCAAATTCCCAGTTTAAAAAAAAAAATCTTCCAGGCACTCGGGAGTTGCTTAACAAAAGCCACTTAATGAAACCATAGTGCAGGCACATAAAAAAAAATTAACTACACAGAAAATATTTGCGAATTTACTTTGCTATAGCACACAATTGTCTCCTTGTTTCCAAGGTCCTGCAATTCCCATCAGTAGGGGGTGGGAGTCTTACAAGACAGCCAAAAGTTAGCTGCCTAATATAAAGCATGGTGAGGACTATGAGGCAGACCCTCTCTTTAATAAAGAGCTCATAAGTTTATCTTCCAGAGAACAGACAACTGCCCGGCCGCACAATTCCCCGCGGCTTAGCCTAGCAAAGGAGCCGCATTCAACCTCGGCGTTGCACTCCTCCGGGCACAGAACATCTAAGAAACTCTGCGGCTCCATTTCGAGGATCCCACGCTCAAGTAATCGGCTCTGCTTTCATCTCAGTACTTGGGAAAAACTCCAAAGCCGAGGCAGACAGGAGTCGAACCAGGAGCCGGCGGGCACTCGTGCTCCCGGGTCAGACAGACCGGCGCTGCGTGAGTACCGCGCTGGTCCCGGAACCGCGGCGCCTGTCCCCCGACTCCGCAATCACCATTCCCCGCACGTCCCTCCGGTCCCTCCACCCCTCCGCCCCCGCATCCCGGAGCCGCGGTCGGTCACTCAACTCTGCGAGTGGGGCAAGGAGACGAGCTCCAGCCCCCGCCACAGTGCAGCCGGGGAAGCGTGGGTGGGAGGACACTCACCCCGGGCCCCGGGCTCCACTCCACCCGCAGCAAACTTACTGCAAAGTTGGCTCCAAGTAGTCGCGGTGCGGTGGGGCGCACGGCCCGGGTGCTCAGCGCGCCCGGCGGCGGTAGACCGCTGTGCCGGGAGCCGCACTGGGCTCGCACGTCCGCATGGCGCCGCCGGTCGTCCAAGCCCCGCCGCGTCCAGTCTGGCCCGCGCGCCCAGCGCTCCGCGGTGTGTATCCCTCCGCCCGCGGCCACGCCTGCCAGCGCCGGCTCTCGTTTCTCCAGCCCCGAGACTTCGGGATTCGGTGCGCGCAGCTCGAGACCCGCCCCGCCCCTGGACAGAAGCGCCCGGGGACTACCAAGATCGGAGCCCAGCGTGCACCGAGGCGAGCGCCCTCGAGGAGCTTGTAGTACTGCGGGAGGAGCAGTCTGGGGACTGTTCTAGAATTTCGAGCTGGCTGCTGCGCCTGTTACTGCTGCGCGGAATTTTATTGGATGCTTTCTGCTAGGAAAGGGGAAACATTTGCTTATCTTTCCCCCCCCCAAAAAAAAAGACAGTAAAGGGGGAGGAGAAGTCACCTTAGGCGTAAGGGACACCTCCCCACCCAGCCGCCGCCAAGCCTCTCTTTAGACTTTTCCCCAACCTCCAGGAAATCCCCGAATCGGCATTTGAAAGCCTCGCTCCGAGTCTGCAGCCACCAGGGTGAAAAACTACTGAGGGTCTGGAAAGGAATGCAGTTAGGTCGGAATTTACTTCCTCCTGAAATCCACATTAAGGCCGGAGATGGGGGGTGGAGGTGGGGGTGGAGGCAGGGGGTGCATAAGTTTTCTCGAGACCTGTTATGCAGATTTGGTTAAACCTCAGACCCTCCCGGACTGTGGCAGTGAACCCCAACGCTGGCCTCCGGGACAGACGCCCCCCAATCCCCGGGTCTGTAGGACTAAAAGCAGCTGAGCCTCCCTGGGCGCATTCTCAGCGCTTTATTCCACACCAAGGATCCCGCAGTCCTAGATCCCGGCCCCAGGGCTACAAGTTCTCCAGCGAGAATGAGAGATCCCCGGCTAACAAGCACCCCACTTGCAGAACTCCCTCTGGCGCCCGAGTGCCTAGCCAGCGCATCCCAGGGCTGCAAGTCCATCCACAGCGTGGGCAGTGCTCTAGGTACCAGCTGAAAGCGCAATCGGGAGTCAGTCGAAGCCAGCCAGTCTCGCTTTGGGACGCAGCCCAGAGAAGAGACTTGACCTCGGAAAGTTTGTGGGGCTCTAACGTTTTAACGCCGCGACAACGAAGAGATCAGATTTCCCTAGGAGCAGGCGGAAGGGACTGCAGGCGAACTGCACGGCAGCCGGGGGCTAGTGAGACTAGTTAGGAGAGCATTTCTTCGGCTCAAAGTGAAAGTCACTTAAGCCACCTTAAAGGAAGGTGACTAAAAATAAAGATAATAACAATGCCTGGCAGGTTACGCTTAGGAAGAAAAAGTACTGCCTGCAGAATGAGTTTGCTGATTTGTAGCTCTCCATTCCCTGCTCACTGTTTGGAACACACACAAATTCACAACACCCAGCAAAAACGAGCATCATCATAACCCAAAGAAGACTCTGGCCGCAGCTACCAATTGCGCAAAGTGCTCGCGCAGTGACGGTCACCGTTCCATACCCGGAACGCCGCGAAAGAGAACGACCTGATCTCCAAGCTCAACCGGTTTGCGACCCTGACGGAATTTTAACTCTCAACAAAACACAACCACACAAGAAAGCCAGCCGTTGGGGGAGGGGATGAGAGCGGGCCTGGGGTAGTCATGGCAGGAGAGGAAAAGAACAATAAAAAGTATAAAAACACTATTCGGTAACATTAAATCTGGATTTTCTAAGTGGCACAAAGGAATTCCTGATTTAAAAAATATTCAAACATATATGAATATTTAATTAGTGCTTAGTAGGGCTAAAATATCTTAAGACTATTTTATCACTATCCAGGCTAACTGATAAACCTCACTGCCTAGAAGAAGTTGCACTCGGTCTCTACAGGAACCACTGAGAGGCAAAGATGCAGTCAGTCTCCTAAGCTGCCACATTTTGCTAATCCTTCAGCCACCAACGAAACGAAATGGAGATACCTTTTTAGCTACGAGCGAATTGCCTTCACATGAAGAGAAGTGTAGTTCAAGTTCCACGAACATCCTTTAAATGGTCCATCCTCCGTCACCCTGTCCCCAGAGCCTCGTGGAAATTAGGTGGAAGGGGGAACTGTTCCCCCTAAAAACCTTTTCCCCTCAGCATGGCTTCTGCACTCAGTCCACGCAAGCTGATTTTTGTTAATGCATTAACTGTGGACCGGTGTAAATGAAGGCTGTGATGGAAGCGACCGAGCTCTGTCTGGTCCACGTCGTTAGTGTGCCCAGCAGGTTCAAGTTCGAGGTCTGCACTGAGCTAGGAGCTGGGGGCGCGCCTTGCCCGGTGCTCGGACTAGAGGGCGCTGCGCCACTGCAGATCACCCAGTCCCCAACGCGCCCTCCCTGGGCACCATTTCTATAACAAGTTACACTGAAAATAATGCACAAACGGCTTCGCTTCTCAAGTTCTTTTGAACAGCGCTCTGTGTGTATTTTGTGAATTCCAAAAGCTGCGCATGCTTGTCTTTCATTCCCGCGCCCCATAAAGGGAGTCCAGTTCCCTAAGCGCAGACCCGGCGAGATTCACATGAATTCCGCCACTCGCTTACATTGAAATATCCCCCACGTTATTTCATTTACGTTTAAACTTAAATTCTACAAGGCATGCACTGAACAAAGAACTCACCACAGTAGCCCGGTCCTGGGTGCTCTTCCTTACAGTCCTCGGCAGTTGGGTATATCCCACGCCGATCGGATTTTTGTTAGGAGCCGGGCTCGAAGTACCAAGTTTGCCTCCCTAGAATCTTCAGCATATCCCCAACCAGAGTGTGATCCTCCAGTGCAGTCGGGACTCAGGTGGTCGCATTTCCAGTGGCTTCCGACCCGGGGAAAGTTTGAGCACCAAAAGAGGTGGAGAGAGAGAAAGAGCGCACGAGGTCTGGAGAGAGAAGTGAAGGTCTTCGATGAGAAGCCAAGTTTGTCAGGACATGTCCAGGCAGCCAGCTGCCGAGTAGAGGAGTTACGGCCGGCAACTGCGGCGGATCTCTGCCTCTTTTTCCCCCACTCCTCCTTCCAGGAGCGGCTGGGGGAGGGGAGGTGACGTCAAGGCTCCGCCTCGCCCCCGACTCCCGGGTGCTGGAAGGGGTTCTCCGGCTTCAGTCGGCCTCCCAGCCAGTTGCAGCTGCGGACGCCCTGGCTGCAGCCGGCTCCCCCGCCGCAGTCATCTCCCTGGCCCCGGCCGTCCCCACGATGAAATATCCGCCACTCTTCTCCCCGCCGAGTCTTGGCGCCCAGCCGAGCACAGGCTACCTCGCACTCAGCACCGGATCAGGCCACCAGGGTCCCCAGTTGCGCTTACCTCCCGGGCTTCCAAACCCAGTTGGGCAGCGTTTCCCACGCCTCGGACTGCAGGTGATGCTCTTCCTCTTCTGCAGCTGAAACTCGTCGCAACGTGTCGCCTGCCCGGGTTTTTGTAGGGCGGAAGCGCGATCAGTCTCTACTGGCTTATTGGACGACTCGGACTTTGTCGTCCTGCAACTTCTGGAGATGTGATTATTTTAAATAGTTCTTGTTGTCTATGGCTGGCTGGCTGTGGTCTTTGTATTGAAAAATCACAGCGTCGTATTTTTAATCTCCAAATCTTTTCCAAATGCTCCTGTCTTTAGACCTCGTCTGAATCATAGATTTCGAGGAGTAGTGGGGGGGAGAGGCCGGGGGCGGAGCCAATTTTTAACGTGTCTTACAAGTGATCTGTAGTGATAGTGGCTAATACACAAGTCAATCGTCCACACCTCCAAACGACACAAATTTATAAGAATGCAAACCCTGTTGAAGCTCACTTAAAAAATGAACGCGTCGCTTTTATATAAGCGTCCAGGCTCCGGAAAAATATCTGCTATGGGATTTTTTTAATGCAACTAAAGTACCCAAAGGCATCTTCTGAACAGCATGAAATTCAAAGGGAGCCGTTTATGCAAATTGACACTCCCCCCAAAGATTGTTGTTAAATTTTAAAGAGCCTCAAAAAGGGGGCGGGGGCTGGAGGCAGATTCTACAACCTAGTTTTCCTTCATTTGCGTGAATTTATTGGTCTGTGGAGCTTTGAGAGGTTAAGAGCAAACAAGCTAGGGGTGTCAGTAAGGAAAGAGATGAAAAGGCGAAATGGTGTGTGTGTGTGTGTGTGTGTGTGTGTGTGTGTGTGCGCGCGCGCGCGCGCGCGTGAGGGCTGCTCCATGCTCCAGGGAACTCCCCCACCCGAAGTGTGGGACCAATGTCTGCTTCACATGATAAAAACTGTATATTAAAAGCAAACCTTGCTGGGTCTCATCTTTTTGCCACACGGGTAACAACCCATTGGTGCAGACAACAAGCTTTTACTGAGCATCTTAGAAAGTGTCTAGGGAACACCTAAAAGGGAGTTCCTATCGCTTCACTTGTCCTCCCGAGCCCCATATTTTCCATTGCAGTTTGGGGTTTCTTGTAAGGACTGGGAAGGCTTTAGGAGGCTGGAGAGGCGGGGGGGGGGGCGGGAGATTGGGGAAAGAACCTTAGCGTCCCTTGCATACCATGGGGCAGCCGAAAAGTGCCAGATTCCTGCGCAGAGGGGATAAGTAAGATAGAAGCAATCCAAGGGAAAACTGTTTTGTCAAGCAAGCCTGTCAATGCCCAGCCCACTTTTATACTTCACTGTGGCAACTACGCATGCTCAACACTCCTTTTAGGTCCGCAGTTGCTGTTAGAAATTAACCACCTATTTATTACAAGTCCTCAAACTGATGCGAATTCTCCAGCGGCACTGTTACTCCCACGAGTCAATTTGGCTTTCATAAACTAGTTAGTGTCTAGAGTTGCTTAGCCAAGCGAAGGTATTTCGACTTTAAAGGGACGAAGGGAAATGGACATTTTATTCAAAGTACTCGTTATTTAAAATAGCTCCTTTTAAAAGTGAGGACTGGACACTTTGAACAAAACCCTTTGGCCTGACCAATGTAGGAGACATAGACTAGCCATCTCTGGCTACTTTGATTTAAATGAATTAAATTAGTATTCATTTCCTTAGTCTTTCCAAGTGCCTATCACATATTCAGTACCCACATTTGACTAGTGGCTATTGTTCGAGGCAAAAATAAATTTAACAGTATCTTGATTACGAGAGAGAGTGCTACTAGAAATACCTTGTTATATATCTTTAAAACTTTTTTCCTGTGCTTTAAAGGCTACATCAAGCCATAAATCAGAAGCTCCCACTCCAGTAGTGAGTCACTTCTGAAGTATAGGGAGTGGGGGAGAGTCATGAGAGGATATTTCTCGAGTACCAACAACATGCTAAGTGAAATTATGTAAGATTCAAGTCCTAGTAGGCAAGGTGTGTTTAAGTGATTAAGAAATACTTACATAGCCTTTTAGCTGCTTTATGTCTTCGCTCAGTACATAATACAGGGGAAAAAAGTAATTTAAACAAGGCAGCGTTCTAAGTCATTTTTTAGGAATAGCCTTAGAGCCAAATGCTTCCTCATAAGTCTGACTGGCTTCTAGCATCCCACCCTCTGGTCCCTCTCTACTGCATTTAGGTCTCTTTGTGGTCATCGTCCTCGTGGTTATAGTCCCCCATCCCCCAAATCTAGGATGGCAGGAAGTATCTTTCCAAGTCCTCAAACAAAGTTTTATCCTTTGCTTTCAAATCCAGCTCTCCTTTGGGACCTTGGGCCACACAACTAACTGCTCAACCTGGTGAGATCCAGCTGTGGTTACCTATAGACTTGTTAGTATTTCCCCTCCCCTCTCAATTCAGAGAAATGAGGGCTTTCTTAAAATTCTGTCTTAGTGATAGCCTTTCATCCTAATGGTGAAATTTTGGATGCCATAACCATTCCGTCAGGAAAATACGTGGAGGCATTGCCAATCATTTGTTGCTGGGTATTTTGTTTTTAAAAAGTACAGAATATATCTTTGGTTCATTGGAAAACACATAATGAAACTGAGGAGTTGTGGATTGCTGCTGTCCCTTCAGAAATATAAGCTTATTATCTATCCACCAAGTAGTATGGGAATAGAGCTTTGCAAAACAAAAAAAAACAAAAATAGAACCATTGTCATACATAGCTCAGGTACTGAAGGTTTCCAAGTGTACCTTGTTACGTGGGGACAAGAAAAATCTAGAAACTGTTTAAATTCTCAGTGGAAGTAACAAAGGGAGAATTAGGCTTGAAGTCGGAAAACCTAGTGTGGAATTTGCCTTTGACAGTCAAAAGTCTAAATTTATATCATTTCACAGAATTTACCCCCATTAAGGTCTCCAAAGTGATTACAACAACAGCAAATCTAGCTCTTAGTTGTGAGAGATAGCAATAAAGAGTTACAATGGTTACAGTGCGTGGTTTTCCTGAAATTCACCATGCCGCTCCCAGGTCAGCTCCCAAGCTTTACAGGACCCACAATAAATAGTCACACGTATTTACTCCAGAGCGGGTTTGATGTGGGATGTCCTTCTGTATATGTGTTGCTTTTATTGGTTGATGAATAAAGCTGTTTCGACCAATGGCTTAGCAGAGTAAAGCCAAGCGGGAAATCTGAACAGAGATACAGAGAGAGAGAGTAGGTGGAGTCAGACAGAGGCCATGTAGCTGCTGAAGGAGACAGATGCTGGAACTTTACCAGTAAGCCACAGCCTTGTGGTGATACACCGAATAACAGAAATGGGCTAATTTAAGATGTAAGAGTTAGTTAATAAAAAGCCTAAGCTAATAGGCCAACCAGTATAGTAATTAATATAGTTTCTGTGTGATTATTCAGATCTGGGCAACTGGGAAACAAATGAGCAGTCTCTGTCTACACCAGTTGTACCATGATTGTGTTCAAGATACACGCACATAATATGAGATATTATGAGGACACACATATTCTCATTAATTCTTACAAAGTCTTTTATGGTTAGAGTCCAAAGCGCTCTCACGGGCTCCTGTTTTAAGTTCTTCTCTTATGGCTGGTGGTGCTGTTTGGGGAAGCTGTGGAAAATGTATTAGATACGACCTGGCTAAAGGCAGCAAGCCGCTAGGGGCAGCCCTTTGAGGATCATAGCCCAGCCCATGGTTCTGGCTTTACCCTGTCTGTGCCGACACCAGGAATAGGCTCAACGGCTCTACTCCACGGAATGGACTGACTTGTTCTGCCATGTCATGATCTATGGCAATGTCCTGGAACCTTGCACTAAAATCAATCTTTCTCTCCTTAAATCGGTTCTGAAAAAGCCCCTAATACAAAATTCTAGACAGCATTAGCCATTAATCCCTTACCCTCGCTTCACAGATGAGAAACTGAAATAAATATACAGTAGATAGGACAACTCAATCTTTTGGACTAGAACCTTCAGCTGGCGGTCTGCAGAGCCAACATTATTGTCTACTGTCGTGCAGCACGGCTCCTGGGAGCCTGCTCCTCATCTGCACTCCTTATCAACCGTAGCTGCCTTACATTAAAGACCAGCATTGCTGCAGTTTGAAAACTGGCCTGGAAGAGGGTGAACCTCTTATCATGTCACGGTTACAGAGAAGGGCTCCTTTCCAGTACACATGAGTCCTTTAAGCACGGAAGGAGAACATCCCTGATTGTGTTTAGCAATAGACGTGTAGCGCATCCATGATTTCTTTGGATTACTTATTTTCCTAGGTAGATATGCATGCACTTACGCACATTGTCTTTACATTCAAAATCACCATCTGGCTTTTAACTTCTTTCGGCTGAACAACAAAAAACACACACACCGATGATTTCCAATGAATTCTGACAAGGACCATCTCAGGATCTCACCACTAACATTTTAATTTTTACTTTGCATTTCACGTCCTTCGTCTGGATTTTGGGTATTCCTTTCTCTTTTTAACTCTCCTTGCTTTCCCTCGCCTATGCCTACAGGCAGGTGGTGGTTGGCATGAGAAGTTTTCATACAGGTTCATATATTGGAAGCTTTGGTCCCCAGTTGGTGGTGCTCTTTGGGAAGGAGTAGGGGGTGTGGCCTTATTGGAGGAAGTGTATCACGGGGGATGAGCTTTGTAAGTTTAAAGCCACTTCTAGTTCACTCTGTCTGCTTGATGTTTACAGCTCATGATGTGAGCTCTCAGCATGTTACTCTAGCCTCCACGCCTGTTACCTCCATTCCATGATGGACTCTTATCCCTCTGGACCTGGAAGCCTAAATAATCTCTTCTATGAATTGCTTGGTCATGGTGTTTTCTCACAGTGACAGAAAAATAACTAATACAATATGACAAGTAATTCTTTTTCCTGGGACTATTCCC